GTGGGTGTGAAATCACTCCAGCCAAAAACCATTGAGAGCAAACAACTGACCTCACTCTTTAGAATTGTGTTCTCTATCGCTTACTGTGGCACACACACAATGGCTGTGAGGGTGCGGAGGGTGGCAGAGTTAAGCGGGTGTACTGGGGTTTGTTAATCCTCCCTCCATTCTCTCACAGATTAGCCATTCTAAACCAGTCCACAATGAATCAGCACTTTCCCTTTGGTACAGGTTGAGGGGGAGTTTGGGTCATCTGACACCTAGAATCATATGCAAAAAGACCTCCACACCCCTACTTTAGCATGCTGCAGCACTTTGCCAAAATGTCTGCTTTTGTCCTTACTATCACCATTGTATTATTTGCTCTATATCCCTCCTGTCTGCTTAGTTTATGAAAACTCTACTAGGCTATTTTGCAGCAGAATTAAGCTGACCAATTAATTACACAGATTAGGAGGATAACTCGGCAATAATGGAGTATTAAATTTGCATTTATTTTCATGAATTATTATTTTCTGTAACATAATCCTATTTTGCATCATTATATTTTCTTTAGTATTTTGATGGACATAAGCGTGAAACAGATTATCAAAAAAAGCAAAAAATGTAGGGTGCCAGCTTGGTTCTGTCCATTGGTTGATGTTTGGGTTTTGAGATATCTTTTCAAGGGAAGATTGAAGTTAAGACATTTTGACAGCATTACACCGTCAAATAAATAAATAAATAAAGATAGGGTGAATTTTCATGCTGACTTTGTTTTGGTGGAATGCCAAAGATGAAGTCATCAAGAGTTAATTATAATGAGAAAAAAACGGAGTGTCTATTTACACTAAGTGCAAATATCCCGCCTTGTTGGCAGAGGCTATTTACACTAACTCCGCCCACCAACATGTGATTGGGCTAGACAAAATTACAAAAGACAGCTGTCAAAGAACATCTCCATTGGCGTAAGTGGTAAAACGCATAGTGCAGATTTTTGACGCGATCGACCCGAGTTCAAATCCGCCTTTTGCCGAACTCATTCTTTTCCCTTTTCACATAACATATCGCATCGGAAAGGCATTAATTTTCAATAATAATGAAGAAAAATAATCGAAAAGTTGAAAATGAAGTATCGGGTAGGGTTAGGGTTCAGCATCCATTTAATAATTTTAATAAAACTTATAATTTACACTCAATACGTTATTATTGCAGACTGTTTTATAATGTACTACAATACTGAGGTGCAGATAATTGCCACTGTTTGCAATAAGTAGTATGAATAGCAGAAAATACTACTATTTTTACATAGTGTAAATAGAAGCTATGGCTATTTGCACTTAGTGTCAATGGCATCTATCACTAAGCAAATACGCTATTTTTGCTTAGTGTAAATAGCATATTTCTCTAAGAAAATATGCTAATTTTACTTAGTGTAAGTAGCATCTGTTGCTGTTTGCACATAGTGTAAATAGCATATATCGCTATTTACACTTAGTGCAAATACCTGATGCCAAAAAAAAAGGCGTGATTAAAAAATTGTGGACTGAAGTCCCTTCTTATGGACCAAAATGAGAACTGGTATTGCAGACTGTTTTATAATGTACTACAATACTGAGGTGCAGATAATTGCCACTGTTTGCAATAAGTAGTATGAATAGCAGAAAATACTACTATTTTTACATAGTGTAAATAGAAGCTATGGCTATTTGCACTTAGTGTCAATGGCATCTATCACTAAGCAAATACGCTATTTTTGCTTAGTGTAAATAGCATATTTCTCTAAGAAAATATGCTAATTTTACTTAGTGTAAGTAGCATCTGTTGCTGTTTGCACATAGTGTAAATAGCATATATCTCTATTTACACTTAGTGCAAATAGCTGATGCCAAAAAAAAAGGCGTGATTAAAAAAATCATCAAAAGTTGTCCCGCGCCGCACCCTGTTGCGTTGGGTCCCGCGGTACTCCCGCGGGAGTGCAGGTCTCTACCTCAAACTCAATTGTGCATAAATGATTAATAAATTAGCTCTGTGTATTTGTCTGCAGAATAAAAATGCTGTCTTGTTGTTCGGTTTGCAGGTTGAAAAACCATGCAGTACCAAACCTCAAGAGTTGCTGCTGTACCCTGCTAAAGAAACTAGCCAGATTGACGTCAAGCAGAAGCTTGGAGATCTGCTCTTGAAATACAGCAGTGGCCTGTGGGCCCACGCGCTGCCTAAACTGTATCAGGACACATATAAATGTAAACTACCGGAGTTTGTGCTGGACCACCTCACCCTGCTTTCAGATATATGCACGATTGACTACCCCATGCCGGACAATCCCAAAAGAGCAATTCTGTATGCAAAAGTAGTAGAAGACGAGAACCGTAACCAGTCGGGATTGGCTGGCTCAGAGACGAAAGAAGCAGTAGAGCGCAGTTTGAGCAGCCAGACTGTTCCTCCTCTTGTCATCCCTAGAGAGGAATACCCTTCTGTCCTGGTGGTGGAAGCAGGTGACACAAACAGCGTCATTCTGAGGTGCGATTTATAATCAATATTCTATAGATCATGAGGGGTGTGACCTTTATCATGCCTTTGCTTAGATTCATCTCAGAGCAGGTTGGATTGGATCAGAGAATATAATTCTTTGATTGAAGAATTTTTGGAAATGCCCACTGAGGGAAAATCTGTCAGGCCACTGTAAAAGTTGACGGCCACTGTTGTACTCTTGATGAAGTGTGTTTGTATGTTTATTTGCAGGTACATAGGTGAAGGTTACTCTAAGGCACAGGAGAAGTTAGAAGATGAAATGAGAGAGTTCTATGGGCAAGACAGCAACAAGGTGGCTCTGACTTCACCATTAACAGGTCAGCTGACTGCTGTATGTGCTGAGGAAGAGGAGGAGATCCTCCGAGCACAAGTCTGTGAGGTCATGGCCAACAAGGTCAAGGTGCGTTATGGGGTCATTGAAGAACACTTCTGAACATAATAGAGTAGTGTAGTGGTTCTCAACCTTTTTGACTTTAAGGCCCCACATTATCCAAGACAGTATTCAAAGGCTACCCATGTAGGGTGAGATCTTTCTGTTTTTTCTGCTGTAATGACAAAGCTGTTTGTTTTCTTTTTTCAGAAGCTAGGAGTAGGGCTGTCAAAATAGCTGAAAAACTAAATTCGAATTTTTTACTTAAATATTATCAAAATTCGAATTATATTTGAATTTAAAATGCATAATTTCAGTGAGGGTGAAGAAAAGCTTTTGGCTTCTCTCCTGAGGCCACAAGAGGGCGGATGTCCCTCTAGAAAATGCGTGAAATATGCGTTCTGTGTGAACGGCTTGGTTTTAGTTTTGACGTAAACAAGATCTCCGCAGTGATGTTCTCTTTTCCCGCAATATTTGTAATTAACAACGTAGCAGCGCCGCATCTAGTGGCTTCAACTGGATAGGTTAACAAAAACATTAAAATGCAATGACACTTACATCGTCATCACATCTCGTGCGCCTCTGATAAGGCTGCCTCCTTAACGCACACCTAAAATTCGAATGCAACCTTTTTGCATTCGAATGTGGATTTTTATTTTAAATTCGACGAATATTCGAAATTCGAATTTTTTTTGACAGCAGTAGCTAGGAGCAATATATTAAAATAATTAACTAAAATAATTATATTAAATTATATTAAAATTAAAATAAGTAAATTCTGTAATTTCTGTAGGGTTAGGTGAATGTGCTTTAGTTTTCAGTAATGAATTTATATGACTTCCAGAAATCACACAAATCACAAATGTATCCGCAATTTCTACTTAGTAAAATGCGTTAGATCTTGACATAAAAAGACATAATTTATATTCATGACAGAAATTTACATGACTTTTTAAGATTCTTTTATTTTTAATATCCATGACTTCTCCAGGTCTAGAAATCTAAAATTCCCTCACGTATTCAGGTATCCAAGACCGTGACACAGTTGTCGAGGAAACAACATAAAATAAGAAATATGAAGTTTCATCTTGATTGTTAGATGTTTTAGCTTATTTAAAAGCTTGTTTTTGTGTTGTTTTAAAAGGACAGTTCACCCAAAAATTAATTACTCACCCCCATGTGTTCCGAATTTGAACAAAAGTCTTTGGAACAACATGAGGGTGAGTAATTAATGACAGAATTTTCATTTTTGGGTGAACTATCCCTTTAAATGATTTCCGACCCCCTGGTAGAGAACCAATAGTGCAGTTCACAGTGGATCATTGTGGTTTTCTTTTGTAGAACTGAGGCTGTTTAGCTCTGTGATACATTTGTGCAATATAAATAAATAAAGATAATGCTATGTGTTTTTGTAATAATTATTACTGCACTTGTATGTTGATGTTTAAACAGGTGTACTACGTGGATCATGGCTTTTCTGAAGTCATCAGCAAGAGCAAACTATTTGAGTTACATGAGAAGTTTTATAGATTGCCTTTCCAAGCCACCAAATGTAAACTAGCAGGTGAGATTTGCATTCAGTTATGAATTCACAGACAAAATAGTTTCACATTTAATGTCAAGTATTGTCTTTATATCAATTTATTTCAGGCCTGGAGTCATTCAGTCAGGAGCAGGCAGTACTGAAGAGGTTTGAGTCAATGGCCACTAGCAAGATCCTATTGGCTGAGATTTTAGTGCGTCAGGAAGCGCCTCTGGTGGTCCTGTATGACACATCACAAGATGATGATATCAACATCAATGCTGCCTGTATGAAAGCTCTACAAGACAAATCCTTAGAGAGTCCCTTAAAGGTAACCAAAAAGTGTTTGCAATTACAATGAAAACCTCCTATCCAAAAATACTGTAATGCTAATGTGCCTCAAGAATACTATGTTACTGACAAGATAGCGTGTCCAAAAAGCATGGTCCAAACTATCACACTACCACAGTACTTGCACCAATTATATCAGTGCTTTTGGAAATCTGCTTAGCCAATCAAATTTGTGGACTAGAACTGTTGCATAATCAATACTCAAAAGTTTCAAATGGAATGTATTAATGTGATGTGTGTTAACCAGTGATTAAGTGAATGACAAATACATTTGTATTCTGTCATAGGTGAACAGTGCCTACATGAATGTGAATGTGAGCAGCGTTTGCTCAGATGGGACGATCTACTGTCAGGTGCCCTCCAGAGGCCTGACTAAACTCAACGAAATTCTGGAGAGGACCGAAAACTGTTTACATTCCCAGGTGCTGCACTTGCAACAGGCATAATCTCTGTATGTGCTGCTTCAAATATGTTGCTAGCGACTTCTTTAGAGGAGGTGAAGTGGCCAAAATAGACAGATTGAGATTATGGGTTTAATAGGATTGGCAGGCGTCAAGTACATAATCCCTAATAAAAAGTTACCTGCTGCCACAGATTGTGTGCTAGAGTGCCTAACAGAGACATCAGTGTATAAATATAGGCATCAAAGTGTTTTAAATAGTTATTGTTTACTGTAGTGCATATCAGCACCCTGTAGAGAAGCTTGATGTCCATTTCATGATGTGTTCCCTCCCGTTGTCTGGCAGACAGGATATGCTCACATATCTTTCCCTTATAAAAGGTCACATCAGAGTTGCTGGTTTCACGGCCTTTCTGTGGCAAAATCTGTTTGGCTCGATATAAAGGCAAATGGTCCCGGGTGGAGGTGAGTCTGCTCTGTCAGTAGAAGCATTTAAGGCATAGTTCACCCAAAATGAAATTTCTGTCATTAATTACTCACCCTCATGTCGTTCCAAACCTGTAAGAACTTTGTTCATCTTCTGAACACAAATTAAGATACTTTTGAAGAAATCCGAAAGCTTTCTGACCCTGCACGGACAGCAACGCAACTACCACGTTCAAGGCCCAAAAATGAAGTAAGGACTTTGTTAAAATAGTCCATGTGACATCAATATTTCAATCTTAATTTTGTGAAGCTACGAGAATACTTTTTGTGTGCAAAGCAAAAAAAAAACGTTATGGTACTCTCAAGAACACGCGTTGAAGACTGACACGTCAGAGAAGACGTTGAATAAAGTCATTATTTTGTTTTCTTTGCACACAAAAAGTATTCTCGTAGCTTCATAAAATTAGGGTTGAACCACTGATGTCACATGGACTATTTTAACAATGTCTTTACTGCCTTTCTGGGCCTTGATCGTGGTAGTACCCTTGTTGTCTATGGAGGGTAGGAAAGCTCTTGGATTTCATCAAAAATATCTTAATTTGTGTTCCAAAGATGAACGAAGGTCTTACAGGTTTGGAACGACATGAGGGTGAGTAATTAATGACAGAATTTTTATTTTTGGGTGAACTATGCCTTTAAGAAAAGAAAAGAGTCATTAACAACTATTGTAAATCTGTAAGTCATAATGCTGTAAGAGCATTTCATCTATTAGTTGATTTGTTTCTTTAAATGTATTTTATGGAGTTGCTCCCGCATTCACCAGGAACACTGCATTCATGTTGACTCTGAGCTGTTCATGTCCTCAGACTCGGACATTTTTCATTTTTATGGTATCTCTCATAATGCTAAAATGGTTCTTCTGTGTGTGGCTTTGTTGGTAATGACATCAAAATGATTCATTTCTGCAGCAATTTGTCTTATACATTATACCATTTCAAACGTTTGGGGTCGGTAATTTTTTTAAAATACATTTATTCTTTTATTTAGCATGGGTGTTATTTTGAACTTTCTATTCATCACAGAATCCTAAAAAATGTATTGCGGTTTTCAAAAAACCACACTAAATCAGCATATTAGAATGGTTTCTAAAAGGATCATGTGACACTGAAAGCTGGAGTTCAGTTTTGACACCACAGGAATAAATTACATTTTGAAAAATATGAACATTTAAAACAGTTATTTTAAATTGTAATAATATTTTACCATATTACTGTTTTTACTGTATTTTTTAACAAATAAATGCAGCCTTGATGATCATAAGACACTTCTTTCAAAAACATTAAAAAGTCTTACCTACCCCAAACTTTTGAACAGTAGTGTACTATATAGTATAAAATATGACATAAAATATAGTGTAAAATATGACGTCAAACAAAAATATAGAAGTTGCTACAAAACTACTAACCTTTGAACTGCTGAAGCCACCAAATGTTCTTCATTATGACCATTGTGGTGCAATAGTCAAGTGGGAGAGGTTCATAAAATTATGAGTTTCCTACTTGAACAGTAATTATGAGTTCAACATAATATAATTCCTGGGGATTGAGGTCTAAAACTGTGTCCACTGTGGTTTCGCCATAGATAACAAACCTGCACGGCAGCCGGGTGCTGGACATCTTGTTTGTGGATGTAGGCGTTCAGGCGTCAATCGAGGTCACTGAGTTGAGAGAGATCCCACCTCCTACGCTGCGTGACCTCATTTCCACCCCGGCCCAGGTCAGACAACAGATAATGATGGCAAAAAGAGGTTAAAGAGTGTAGTGGTTTGTAACAGCAGAGCAGTTTGTGTTCATTTTTATTTTTTTGAATGAAAGGCATGAAAAACCTGTAATACTTGCTTTTGTTCGCAAACAGGAATTACTTTATGTTAGGCTGTCCAAAATGTCCAGGCTGCTTTTTTCCATTTTATCCAAGGCTGTCCAGGGTCCTCATCCACTTGCATTGTATGAAGATAGCAGCTTAGACATTTTGTTATAAATACAAAAACTTGGAATAACATGAGGATGACTCAGTGATGACAGAAGTAATTTTTGAGTGAACTGATTTAATTGTTAGATGATTAATATGTAAGTTTGTATGTCTGCCTATATTTGTCACTCTGCAGGCGCTGAAGTGTTGTCTGGCAGATCTGCCTGTGAGCGTAGGCTCATGGACTCCAGATGCTGTCCAGTGGCTGAGAGACACGGCTCTCCACTGCAGTGACTGCAGCTTGAAGGCCAGTTCAATACTAATGCTGCTTTCTTCACATTTGCATTTCATTTGATTTTATTTGCAGATGAGATACAAGCATAAAACTGAGGCTAATTTCAGAAAGAAAAAAATGTAGTAAAGGCACAAAGATGCTTGTACAAAGTACTTAAAGGGATAGTTCACCCAAAAATGAAAAGTCTGTCATTAATTACTCACTCTCATGTCGTTCCAAACCCATAAGACCTTCATTCATCTTCGGAACACAAATTAAGATATTTTTGATGAATTCCGAGAGCTCTCTGACCCTCCATATATACAGCGAAGATACTACCACGATCAAGGCACAGAAACGTAGCAAGGAGATCTGTAAAATAATCCATGTGACATCAGTGGTTCAACCGTAATTTTACGAAGCGACGAGAATACTTTTTGTGCGCAAAGAAAACAAAAATAACAACTTTATTTAACAACTCGTCTCCTCCGCGTCACCCTAGCGCCATTTTGCAGAGTATCCACTGAACGTAAACAGTGTAGGCTGTTCTGTGTCTGCTACGCCACATGGATACGTTGTCTACATTGTTTGCACTTTGATCTGAATGAAAACAGCGTATCCGTGTGGAGCGGCTGACACAGAACAGCATATGTTGTTTACGTTCAGTGGATACTCTCCAAAATGGCGCCAGGGTGACGC